CTAATAAAGAGCTATGTAATGATTTTATAATCTTGTTTAGACAAACAACCTTCCAGATCATTTAGGGTTGTTTATCTCAGACAATAAAATGAGCAACTATTTATGTCTTTCTAAACAATTTTTTTTTATTTCCGTGAATTTTACCTTTAAAGTAGAACACAGACTGTACTGCTTGTATTTCTCTGGGTTTAAAGGAACTGACAGGAGGAAAGATGGTCCCATGAGAACTCAGTGTGCACGTTGGCTCAATAACTCCTGCCTTCCAGCAAAGATTGACAGTAAAAGCAGTCAGCCACAGGAGAGACAAATCTTCGCATGTCAGATCTTTAGTCAGTTTAAAGCATGCATCCATTAGCTTTATTAGATTTACATGAAAATATCTGGCGTGCAGTCTGAACAGAGAATGGTGGCATTATTACTTGAATGTTGAACGAACGTCTGAGTCGAGAAGCTATCCTTTAAGGAATACATAACCTCCCACCACCACCTTGCACGCCAAAGTCTTAAAGATAAGAATAATCCCTTGGAGAATGTGTTGGGGATGACTCTCAGCTACTACCACGCCAAATTTTAGCTCAAAATCTGCAAAATTGGCTAATTTGTAACCATTTTTGTGTTTGCCAAGTTCAGTTGGCTGTGGTGGCCATCTTGAACTGGGTTGACACCAAAAGTTGACTAGATGCAGATGCATATTCGGTGATTATTTTCTGAGAGTTTTCGTAAAATCCACACATTCAAGAGGTATTTTGCTAACGGAAAGAAGCACACACACAGGCAATCATCTCCCGCCTTTCATGGTGGCGAGTAAAACAATTGTTTTCTTTGATGTATATTTTTTCATTTTCATTTACCCTTTATTTATACAGGTAGTCTCATTGAGCCACGAGAACTCATTTTCAAGAGAGACCCGTTTAGGGAGCAGATGGTGAGGGTTAAGGGCCTTGCTCATGGGCCCAGGGTGGGGCGAATGAGGGTGGGGGCAGGTGTGAGTGCTTCACCTACCCCACCCACATTTTTGATGTTGTGGGTACCGGGGCTTGAACCGGCGATCTTCCAATCACAGGCCCACCTTTTCTAACCTCTGCGCTACCACTCCCCATTTAAGTCTGTTAACCATTTAAACTGTTCAGTAAAAATAAAAATCAGAGTTTCATCAGCCATTTCTATTTATCCTGTGAGAAAAAGAATACAAATAAACCTGCTGGTTGGGCTGGGCTAACTTGTAAAGACAAAAGGCAGCAGGGAAACAGTTTAAACAATAAAAAGTTAAAACTTGGAATCCAGACAGCAACAATTAGCCCAAATAAGAGGAAATTAGAGCAGAGACAAAAAAGGCACAAAACTGGATTGTACTCTGCAAAGCAGATAAAGCAATTAATTATATCTGACAAGAGGAAGAACAATAAAATGACCACTACCCCCCCGCACACACACACCGTTTCTATACAGCTCAGACAACACAGATAATCACTACATTTTAGACCAATTAAATTGCCATTTATATTCCAACTACATCTTAAACTCTTTCTAATCCTCTTCATTTCAGAAAACAGAGAAAATAATGTGTCTATAAATATTCATGAGTTTAAATCGACCAGGATTTAAAGAAAATGCCGACCTCAGGGCCATCAGTCAATTTTTCAGAACAGGCTTTATTATGTTTGCTTTAACAGTTCAGCTGAAATATGTATATATATTTTTAACACAAGAAAGTTTGAGATGATTCAAAAAATATTTGTAACTTTCTTTAAAAACACACACACAAACACAAAACGTTGTGATTTTTAGGGAGTTTATGCACAAGTAAGCTCAGTTTTCTCAAAACAATCTTTTTATTTCTTTTTTCTATAAATATCCTTGTGAAAACAATACGGTTTCTAGAAATGTCTCCGTTCACACAGAAACACCAAAAACAACACAAAATGCTGTAGTAGCTGTGCCAGGCCTGTATGAGGTGCTGTGATGCTTTGCATAAAGCTTACTGTTAAATGTAAATACAGAAGAAGACTGGACACCCTCAGATCAAAGATTAGATTAGAGGCATGGCTATGACATCACTGATTTCAAAAGGTTGTGTTTTGGCTTTTTACACCAAAACAAGGATTGTCTTTCATGATTTGTGGCTCCTAAAATGCTGTATATGTGTGGACACAAGACTGAAACAATAAACTTTGACATATTCACTAAAATTGTTGCAGAGAGTACAGCCCCTTAGGTGGTAATATTTATAACTTAACCTTTATGTCATGCTGCGATGAAGAAAGTTTACTTCACAGTTCAGTACGAAGCCATCTGGAAGTTTTAATACACAAGAACTGAAAGCACTAAATCTGCAGACTTATTCTTATAGTGGACTGAGTCATATTTGTTTTGCCTTTGATTAAATTTACTGTATTGCATTAGAGGGGGAAAATGATTCACCAGAATAATACGCTCACATCCAAAACAGTACAAGGCAGTAAAGAGACAAAACTCTGAGACTCAGGAAATTAGATGGGCGTCTGAAACATAATGAAACATTCACAGGGGTTCACAGTTTCCTCACGTTAACTCAAAGATGTGTGCAGTCTTTTGGAGATGTTAAAAAAAAAATTGTATGAATAATCATTTCTCTCAGAGACTCAGACATCACAATCCAAGGAAGCTAACCTGCTATCTTTTCCATCTTCTCCTGTGAACTTTATGTATTTATCCCGAATTGATGTGATCAGTGAAATGGTGGACTTACTGAGATTTGATTTTAACCCAGGTGTCATCAACATACCTGAACCAATGACTCGGATGTGTCCCTGAAAAGGACGCCATCGCTATCTTTTCTAGGTCCTCCATGTACAGGTTTGCAACAATTGTAGAAACTGGGGACCCCATACCACACTCATGTTTCTGCCTATAATCTTGCCCCCCGGTTGTGAAGTAGATTGACTGCAGGCACAGGCAGCACAATCACAGCCACAGAATAAGCCATCCGCAACAACAAAATGTCAGAATTTGAATCAGAACAACTTGGGAACAAAGTTTCAGCCTGCCTCAGCAACACCAAACCACCATCTTCCAACATCAGCAGAGGCACGCTCACCACCCTCAGCAAGGACAAGAACATCATCATCCTAGACAGGATGCTCTCTCAACAAGAGAGCCTTGGCATCCTTTTCAGGGACATTACTAAGTCACTGGTTCAGGCATGTTGATGACACCTGGGCTAAAATTAAATCTCAGGTAGTCCAACATTTAATGACTACTGGGTAATCATTTCTCAAAATACTTCAAATTGTTATGTGTGTCTTGAACCCTTCTAAAATTTAGGTGATGTAAACCTTAAAGTCCTAGAGTTACATTTTAACTAAATTTTAACTAAATTTTGATGCTTGGTCTCAAACACTCAAAATTCAGTGACTATACTGAAAAGTTAGTCTATTTTCTTGCAGATTTGAGACTTCAATAGTCACAGCAAATGGATAAAAAAAACTACTTCCAGTTTGTGATATAAAAAAAATCTCAACAAAAGTTCATCAAATTCAAAGCTAAGGTAAAAGCAACCAACTGGTAATTTGCTCCTAGTAGCTTCACCTACAAATGTAGGAGACTGGTCTTCTAGTTGCCTCCAAATAGCCTCCTACTTGTTGCCTACTTGGGTCCCACAAGTCTCCTACTATCCTCCAACTAGCCTCAACTATTCTCCAACTATCCACCAAATACCCTCCAACTAGTCTCCAACTAGTGTTCAACTAGTCTCTTACCATCGCCAATGGAAAATTCACCCACTTTCTGATTTGCTAACTAGTCTCCAAAAAGCCACTTAATAGCCTCCAACAAGCCTTCTACTAGTCTCTTACTAGCCTCCAACATAGCCTACTGTCTCCTACTTGTCTTCTACAAGCCTCCTACTAGTCTCCAACATGTTTCCAACCAGTCCCCAACTAGTCTCCTACTAGCCTCCAAATAATCTTCTATTAGCCTCCAACTAGCCTCCTACTAGTTGCCTACTTGAGTCCCACAATTCTCTTACTAGCATCTAACTAGTCTCCTACTAGCCTCAACTAGTCCTCTACTAGCCACCAAATAGCCTCCAACTAGTCTCCTACTAGACTCCAACTAGCCTACAAGTCTCCTACTTGTCTCCTAATAGTCACCTTCTAGCCTTCTACTAGTTGCCTACTAACCATCTACTAGACTCCCACTAGCTGCCTACAAGCCTCCTACAAGTCTCAAACTAGAAACCCAATATCCTCTAATCTTCAACCAGACCCCAACTAGCCTCCAACTAGTCTCAACCTAGCTTACTACTAGCTTCCAACTAACCAATTAACCTTCAACAAGTCTCTTACTTGTCTCCTACTAGCCTCCAACAAGTCTCTAACAAGTCTCCACACAGCCTCAACTCACCTTTAACTTGCCTCCTAGTCTCCAACTGGCCTCCAACTAGTCTCCTACTATCCTTTGACTAGCCTCTAACTAGCCTCCAACTAGTCTCCTACTAGCCTTCAACAAGTCTCTAACAAATCTCCACACAGCCTCCAACTAGTTTCCTACTATCCTCCAACTAGCCTCATACTAGCCTCCAACTAGCCTCATACTAGCCTCCAACTAGTTTCCTACTAGCCTCCTACTAGATGTCAATTGGTCTCCTAAAAGTAAACAAACTACCCTCCACCAAGCTTCCTTCTCTTACTAGCCTTGTACTAGCCTCCAACTAACCTCCAAAAAGATTCAGATAAATTTCTTAGTAGCCTCCAACTTGCCGCCAACTAGTCTCCAACTAGCCTCCTATTAACTGCCTTCTAGTCCCCAGTGAGTCTCCATTGAGCTTCCTACTAATCTACAACTAACCCGTACTAGCCTTCTACTAGTCTCCTACTAGCCTCCAACTAGTCCCCAACTACAACTTCTTTTGTAGCAACTTGGTGTTGTTACAAAATGTATGGTTACATCTTTTGATGCACAAAGCTGATCCCAAGCTTCACACAACATTCCTCTAAAATTCTCTGCTTAAAGATACTTACCTTCCTCAAGCTCATCCAAGGTAGAGATCTTGCGTGACCCATCAATGGTGAAGATGAAGCGGACTCCCTGAGGCAGGTTGATGTGGTCGGAGAGCAGGCGCGTGAGGTCCGCCAGGAGAGCGTCAAAGGTGCGGAACCGGTCATTGGCCACAGCGTACACAATGCCCTTGAAGTAACGGTCCCCATTTCTGTAGAAGCGCACCTTTTTGGCTTTCTTCTCGTTGGTGAGGGCCTGCAGGGTGCGTGTGCGGTAGAAGCTACAGTGGGCACTGTGGGTGGGGCTAGGAAGTCCATTCATGCGTCCACCCCGCGGGGTACGGGTCGTCCTGTCTCTCTCATCAAAATGCCCAAAGTCAGGCTCCATGACAACTCGTAGGGATGGTGGTTGAGAATAACAGGGTGTGGTGGGGAACAGTTATGGTGAGCCTGGGAAAAGAAAGAAAGGTGTCAAACATTTGGGTTGGCTCCAAAAATAAACAGAAAACACAAATTAGAATTACTCTTAGGAAGATTGTCCTTAAATTTCAATTTAAATACAGAGTAGAAACCAAATTTCTGGGGTTTAAACTGTATTATTGAAGTGGGTTTTCTATGGAAAGATTGCCATCATTATACTGGCTGTTGACAGCACTTTGAACAACCTGAGTTTAGAACAGTAAGGTTTATAGACAGCATCTTACCAATTGTGGATAGATACAGTAGATACAAGAGGTAAGATGTCAATTGTTTTAAAACCTTTTGAGAGAATCTTGCTCTGAAAGGCCTGAGCTATCCCTGTAAATGAATCAGTTTAGTTAAACTAAAGAGCTGATAGTGATTTAACTCAACCACTAAAAATAATCTGTAAATTATCAAGAGGTATCAACCATTTTCAAGTTTTGATAAAGTATTGCAAAAAAGAATAAAACTTCGAGGGCAGTTTTGCTGTAAAAATGGATTATACACTTTTGCTGTCATTTGTTGTAATGTCAAATAATGAAATCTCAATTTTTAAAAAGGTTGATTGAGTATTACAAACGTAAAAAAATATTCACAGTAGAATCTAAAACATTATGGATCATTAAGGGCAGCAGAAATGTTGAAATTAGAGACACAAAAACCTGAAAAGTTGTACAGAAAAGAAAACAGCCTTAACTTTTTGCAACCAGTCATGTTGACTGGAAACAGATCAGAAGCATGAACAGGTGTAAAATAGAATAAAATGCATAAAGCCCAGAAGTCAAGCAAATGTGTTAGAATTCAGTAGTCAGAGTGCTACTAGTAGCATTGTAAGAAGAGGACAGTTGAACACGGAGGCCTCTGTCCCGGTTTAAGTCCCTCCACGTTCCCTGAGGTCAGCGGACCAATTGCTCCTCACAGTTCCAGGAACTCGTCTTAAGCGCAGAGGTGACAGGGCCTTCTCTGTAGCAGGACCAAGACTTAGGAACGAGTTACCTCTGCTTGTCAGACAGGCCCCCTCCCTCTCGGTTTTCAAATTCCGTTTAAAAACCCACTACTATTCAGTAGCTTTCAACACCAGAGGATCTGTGTTTTGAATCTGTACGCCTGCACACTGGGTTGTCGTCATATTTATTATCTGCATCGTTTTTATGTCTATATTCTGATTTACTTCATTTTGTGTGGCGTCTGTTGTTCTGCCTGTACAGCGCTTTGGTTGGCCTTGTTGCTGTTTTAAATGCTCTATAAATAAAATGGTATGGTATGGTAAGGATGGATGAGTTCTCTCACAAAGATGGCCATCTTTACTTCTCTTTCACACCAACATTCCTCTCAAGGATGTGCCCATCTTCATTCCTGAAAGAGTGACAGTTGGCCAGCAGATGAATGTAGACCGCAGAGTCCTGGCCTGATTAAGTTGCTCTTCTGTGCTGGTCCATCCTTTTGGCCAATGACTGTTTAGTTTCCCCGATGTATGACTGATCACAGTGTCCTGGCACTGAACAACATACATAATATTCCTCTGTTTGTGCAGAGAAACTGGATCTTTGGACTGAACCAGTCATTGCTGTGATGTATTTTGGGGTCTGAAAGTCACTGGGACATAATTAAAAGAAAGAAAAAAAAACTGGTCTGGGTTCTTCCTTTTCACCTGATGGCTGGCTGGAGTCCTGTTTGGGTTTCTTCTCTGCTTTCACAAAGGCCCAGTTAGGATATCCACTTTGCTCAAGAGCCTGTCTTGTGTGGGATTTCTCCTTCTGTCTGGCTGCTGAGTTAGTGGGGACACTGTCTGCTCTGTGGTACAGAGTCCTGATGACTCCTAACTTGTGCTCCAGGTGCTGATGTGAATCAAACTGCAAATACTGGTCTGTGTGGATGGGTTTGCAGGTATACATCATTTTCCAAATGTCCTCCATCAGAGACTGCGACTTCACAGTCCAATGAAGCCAACCTACTATCTTTTTCCATCTTCTCCAGTGAACTTTATTATTTATCCACATAGTTGATGTGATCAATGAAAGGACATGAGACATGAAAAAATGTGGCATACGCCCTTTATCATGCAAAACTTCAGATGTATCAAGAATGAAATGACAGTGGAAATGTGTGCAGTCCCATACCAACTTCATGGCTGGTATATGCACATTGCTATGGTTATTGTTCCATTAACAAAACTTAAAGGTGATACTGGGAACTTGCTAATGATGTGAAAACTATTATTTCACACAACGGACACACATGATGAACTATTAAGACATCCACATGTATGCAATTAGATGAGTGGATATAAAAGCATGTGCAAAGTGGTGCAGAAAATACTTTTAACAGCAATGGCTTTAGCCTTATTAGAAGATATAGCAAATGGCACAATACACAGAAAGCATGTATTTAGAGAATCAGAAGATTTTCTGGCCCATAATGACAACTGGCTCATCAGCAATTTTAGGCTTCCAAAGGCAATCCTTTTGGAACTGTTCTTGGACCTGCCGCCAGTCTTGGAGCATGACACAGCGAGGAGCCATGCGCTGCTGATACACATAAACCTGCTGACCGCACTGGGGTTCCTAGAAACAGGAGCATTCCAGAGGGAGCTGGCAGACCAATCAGGACTGTGCCAGTCAACCCTGAGCCAAGCCATGCCAGCTGTGTGGGATGGGATTATCCATATGTCAACCAGGTATATCAAATTTCCTACAATGCAGTTGAACAGGCCAACATTAAAGCACAAGTTGCAGCGAGAGCCAGTTTTCCTAATGTAACCGAAGCTATCGACTGCACACTCACATTGCTATAAAAGCACCATCACAGGATGAATACGTTTATGTAAACAGGAAGTATTTTCATTCAATCAATGTGCAAATTATATCAATCTATCCATCAATTATCTTTACCCACTTCTTCCTTTCCAGGTTGTGGGCATCACTGGTGCCTACATCCAGCAGTTACTATGTGAGAGTCGGGGACATCCTGGATAGGTTGCAAGTCCATCACAAAGACACAGAGACAAATGAGACAAACAACCATTCACTCTCTCACTCACACCTAAGGACAATTTAGAGTTACCAATCAGCCTAACATGCATGTTTTTTGGACTGTAGGAGGAAACTGGAGTACCCGGTGAAAACTCACACATGCATTGAGAGAGCATGCAAACTACTCCCAGGAAGGTCCCCGGCCAGGTCTCAATCTAGCGACCTTCTTGCTGAGAGGTAACAGTTCTACCAATTGTACCACTGTGCCACCCTACAGATTATATGTGATGTGCAAAAGCAACTAACCAACACTGTGGCGAGCTGTCCTGGTACAACACATGATTTATGATGAACAGCATTGGCGGGAACAGACTAGAAGCTGGCATGGTGTGGGATGGGTAGCTTCTTGGTGAATAAATTCATTTAATTGTCCTAATATGTCTGACCATTTTTTCTCAATTTCAGTGGGTGCGCACTGTGCACTGCTCTGACTCCACAGCATTTACAGCTTTGAACACATCATCCTACTCACTCCTCTTGCACTTGGTGCTAAGGCCAAAGGACAGCATGGCAAACAGAATGTTTTTACGTGCCTCTACCCCATTTAAAAGCATCTCCATCTCACATTCCATGACGTTCCTCTTTTTCCTGCATGTAGATGTACTTTTCGTTAGTGCAGAGAGGAGATTCCTCAGGTGCGGTGCATATTTAAATCTATTTGCACATTTAAATAGAGGTGTGGCAACAGAGAAGTTGGGTATTCCCTCAATTCTACGATGACTGGGATGTACAAAGTAAGTGTGCTTGGATTCATGCGTATGCATTGTTTCAGACATTTGGATTTATTTGTGCGTACACTGTTTTCTCTAAGTGTACGCCATGTTTCAGTAGAAAATCAAGGCCCCAGTCTCTTCAGTCCTCAGACATTTACAGACTTCTGTCAGAAGAAGCAGCGATGCTAAACCTGACTCTATAACAAGGTTTGAGACGAACTAACTGCTGCTCTCAGTGTCTCACTTTACACATTTAATGCACGGATGTGTTTTATTACGCATTTAATTCATGTTTTACACCTGAGCTGTCAAACAGTTACAAAAGGGGGCCAAAATTAAACATTTATTTCAAACCCAGGGCCAGTTTCTGTTCTTAAAATAAACCTCTTCAGGATGCTTTGTGAGACTAAATCCAATTATCAGTGGATGAAGACACATAAATGTAATATCAGAAGGTCCCATCTGTTTTGGTCTAACTTGTACGAGAAGCATCCGTCACTTCTTCTGTTTCCACCTACACACACCTGTTAACAGCTGCTTCACCAAACACTTCTGTAGAAAGAAAAGCATGAAACTAAAGACAAATTTTATTTCTTTTATCGAAGGTTTGTTAATAGTTCAAAGAAGATGGTTGAACTGGTTTGTGCTCAAGTCTGGAGACTCAGTGATAGTGACATAAAGTAGATCAACATAAAGTGTATTAATTCAGGTAAAAATCACATTTTGCTACATTTTCCTTGTTTGAAGGGGATAAGTGATGCATTCAAAGACAGCGTGGTTTTACTGTATCTTATAAAAGCATAAAACATTTTATGATCCTTTCATTGTACAAATTGTGCATTTCTCATGCCCTTTAACATAATAAAAGATCAGCTGGAGCTTTATTATTTTTGTCTTTTTTATTTTCAGATCAACCAGGATTTTTAAAACTACAAAAGGCTTTATTTAAAAGATAGGCCAAGCCATTTCTTCTAACCCTAACCGAGTAGCAATTCAGGTGCTTCAGTTAAATCTAACAAAATATGGACTGAAAACTACAATAAACAGTTTAAATGGAATAAGGATGAAGGACTCTCGTCTGTACAGCCTCCAATCCCCTTGTCTTACCTGCTGAAACACCTCTTTGTATTATTTTCCTACTGCAAAATGTTGCAGATTGCAAAAACAACCTTTTTTTTTAGGTTCATACATTGCTGCAGGACTGTGCTGTGTCGATTCTATGGTGTTTGAGTAATTATTTGGTTGCTCGTAAAATATGTTATGGAGAAAAAATGTTGCATGAAATTTATTTTCTCTGAAAGTTCCCCCGGTCTGTAAAGATTTGAGTCAAAGCTTGGTTCTGAACCATTAACGAGTCCTCATGACTCAATGAGACCAACCTGTATAAATAAAGGTTGAATGAATGAATGAATCTGGGGACGAGGATGTAGAATAAATAAACTCCAACCTGACCTGCTCACAGGATCTAACTGAAACATTTGTGCACATCCACACCCACCGACCACATTAAAGAAGATATGAATAAAGCTCTGCTCCACTTTGTTCATTAATCGTCCTTAAAATAATATTTAGCAGAAGAGTGCTCCACAAATTCACAAGCGTGTAGATTTCATCCCGTTTCGTCCTTTGATGGCATTATGTGAGAAACCCCACAGGTTTCTGGTGAGGTCGGAGGAAATATTCTCCATTTTTAGTCTCGTTTTCCATCTTGATGATGTCAAAGAACAAATCCAACCATTTTATTGTTAAATGGTTTTCTCAGATCTGTGCTGCAACGTTCCTCCAAACTCATGACTTTGTGATATTCACCGTGTGAACACATGAAATAAAATAAAAATAAAGTTGTTGAAATTGTTTGATTGATTTTTTTTTTATTATTATTTTCTTCTTGTTTTATGTGATTGAGTTTCATGGTGAAAAAATGGGTAATATTTGGAATTACAGGCCGACTCATGAGTTATTTATTTATTTTTACAATAATCAGTGCCAATCTTTAAAAATCTGAAAGCCATGAAAAAAAAAATCATCTTTTTTGGATCAGTATGCATTTTAATTAACAGAATTTTTAAAAAAGAGAAGAAAGTAACAGTGATGGCTTAACTTAAATAAATCTACATGTACATCCGTTGAAAAGTACTTTTACACTTAAAGATAACATTTAGAGGAGCAATGTAGCTTTAAAAAAACCAGTAAACTGGTTGTAGCAGCTGGTGGTAGGAGGTTTTTAAAAGTGCTAAAATCTGTCAATTATCGTTGCTTAGCCAATTAATTGTTCTATCTTTATTATGAATAATGTTCAAACTGTTAATTAGGTAGAAAAATGTACACACATTTTAACCATATTTTAAATAACATGATCAAATATCCTCATTTTCAGCCAGTTTAAAACTGGAGTATATTGCTTTGACTATTGTAAGACAAAAAGGAAAAATATAAAAGACATTCGCCAAAACTTTACTCGTCTCCTAATCCTGCAGAAACAATTATTGACGAATGAGCGAAAAGAAAAACATCTGTTAAACTGGTGCTTCTTCTTTTAGCTTTTATATTGAGATGTTAGAAACTGATGGTTTTTAAACAGACCTAACTTAAACAAGTGAAAGACACAATGTCTGATGTCTATAATCCATCATTGCCCCCCTCATTAAATGTCCCAGATAACCCATTTAAATACATAGAGGACCACACCGACAGACAGGAGGACAAACGCAGTCACCGCCCACCCATGTGGCTCCCCTCATGCAGGACCCTCATGGCTGAGCTGCTGACTGGGCTGTTTTCTGACCACAGGGGTGGGGACATGATGCTCCTCAGCTGACAAAGACCAGGTTTCAGGCCCATCTGCTGCACCAACAGTGACCCTTCCCCAGTGGAAGCATCAACTGGGACAGTCCATTGTCTGAAGCAGGGAGCCTGGCTTCACAGTGACATCACCATCCTCATCCCTGCTGCAGCTCAGGTTCAGCAAGTGCATTCTGAGGAACCCCTTACAGCTTTTCAAACTACAACATGACCTCACACGCACAGTTTAACCTCATGCTTTATACGGCGGGTGAGGAGAGCACGTGCACACTGATAGAAATGTGTCCCTGACTGTCCATGAGGCAGCACTGCAGTAACACTGCATGGTGTCACTGATATATCTGGCTGCTTCTGTGTTCCTGTCTGAGCCTCCCACACACACACGCACGCAC